GTCTGTGTCAGTGTGTGTGTGTTTGTTTGTGTCTCTGTGTGTGTGTGTGTCTGTGTGTCTGTTTCTGTGTATGTGTGTCTGTGTGTGTGTCTGTGTATATGTGTGTGTTTGTTTGTGTGTCTGTGTGTGTATCTGTGTCTGGGTGTGGGTGTGTGTCTGTGTGTGTGTGTATGTGTGTGTGTGGGTGGGTGTGTGTATCTGTGTCTGTGTGACCAGCAGATCCATGATTGATGTCAGTGAAGTCAAGGGACAATAGGAGGTCAAGACTAAAACCGACCACTAATTAGTCATGTCTCAGAACTTAGTCTTAAACAGCTATATTGGTATTACGCGAAACATTATTTTTATCTGATTTTATTTACAAGTTAATGAAGAATGTTACCATGAGGACTTGACCTGGAAGGGACTTTGCAAAGATTGATTATTGAATAGCAATGTGAAGAAACGTTTCACAGATGTATTTCAAAGATCACCAAGCTGATAGTGTGCCTCTAAAATGTATGAAAAAGAAAATTGGAAAAGTGATCTCTACAAAGCAGACAAAAAGGGAAAGAGCTCACACAACTGAATAAAGAGGATAAAGCGGATGTTCAAAGAAGAATGGCAGAGCAGAGAGGAACCAAAACATAGCAAGGTCGCAAAGGCAAAGCATCAAAGTAAAAATGTCTTTCCGCACCACAATAACAAGAGTGGCATCAAAGCAGGGATGAGAAGATTAAAAGGTGCAAATGGCCTTTAAATAGAGGATGTGTATGAAATAATCAGTAGCCTGAATGAGTCCTTCCTCACAATGTATTTAAGAGAAGATGCAAACCATATACCCTGTTCAAAAAGAAGCACAATAAAAGATGAAATTCAAAAGTTTGATACATTGGGGATTCTTTGAAAATTAAGTCAAAAGGGCTTAAAACAAATAAGCCCCAGAGAAGCATGGAATTTTCCAAAGGCACTGAGAGAAGAGCCCTGTTAGGGACTGATCATAACAGAGATGGAAATTTGGAAGGGACTTGGAGATTGGAACTGGACCAGTATTTTGACCACATTCACAGAGAGTGAGGAAACAGACACAGGCAAATCAAGGAAGATTATTTTTATATTAACTCAGAGTAAAATCAAGGGACTATTGGATTACCAGTAGTAAATTTGAGGACTATTTGGTTAATGACGTAAGGTAAAAGGCAAAGTCACCATAGTCGCAGAGGACCATAGGGCTGCTCTCTCATTAGAGAGGGTGAACTGGTGCTATTAGATCACTCATTTCTCTCTAATGAGACAGCAGCCATATAGTCCTCTGGGACAACGGAGATTTTATCTTTTGTCTTGCACTATTGTCCAAAGAGTCCTCAAGTTTGCTACTGGTAATCTATTAATCCCAAGAATTCAGGCCAGGCAGTCGTTGTCTCTTTGCTGTAAACTTGAGGGTAACCATGTTAATAAGCAGTGTCGTTCATGGTAACCTTAGCCAGAGTAGGAACTGAATCCACACTTTACAATCATGTAATCAATAGCCAATGTGATTTTAGAAAAAGGGGAACTTCTGTCTGACCGACCCCCTAGATTTCCTTCAGGAAGTGACAATGCAAGTAGATCCATTGCAAATCCTTCAACATCCAAAAGAAAGGCATTTTGTAAACCTTAATACATGAGGCTTGTAGTTAAGCTTGTCACTGTGCAGATTCAGGATAAATTGGCTGAGAATTTGAAAACGATGTACTGTGGTTAGAGGAGACTGGTTGGGGTGAGGGTAAGCACTGATTGGGGTGAGTCAGAGTTCAGTATTGGGTTTCTGATCCACGTCACTGATTCGTAGTCAGTATTTCAATGTGAAATGATACTAGCCTTGACAAGGCAGTGAGATCAATGGAGATGATTAGAAATGAGGCAGAGCAGGTGAGTAATGGCTGAGACATCTAATACGAGGAATACGTAACATAGCAATGAAAAGCAAAAGACTTAATATATCTTGAATGGTGCAGAAATAGTTAAACTTGAAGTCAAAAGAAAATGAGAAGTCTCAGGGTCACTTTTTCTGGGTGTGGAGAGCACAATACGCACTCGCTAACATTAATTTCAGACCTAATCCATTTTATGTAGCATTTAGTTAACTATTACCTGTCTGCTTCTGGCTCAGAATGGGTATGAAGGGTCACCTGTCAGCTGGGAGAACAGGACCATCTTAGGAATTCTCTCAGGCAGGATAGAAGGAGGTATATTGGAGTAACAGAGGTCATTGTTCCCTTTGTGGAGATTGAATAGACCCAACCTACCCTCCCAGCCCTACGCAATCTTAGGTATAGGATAATCTGCTCTTTGCAGTCCAGCTGCTGACCAGTGAGGAGCTACATTACATTGTATTGAAATCGCAGTGGGAACATAGTGGGTGTGATGGCCTAGTGGTATTATCACTAGATTTATTAATCCAGATTTAAATCCTGACATGTAGATGATGGTATTTGAATTCAATAAATATCTGACATTAAGAGCCATGAAGCCATTGTTGACTGTTGGTGGGAGGGAGGGTGTGGAAACATATATTTGATTCATGAATATCCTTTAGAGAAGGAAGTTTCTATCCTATATAGAACTCCAGGCCTATAATAATATAGTTGACTCTCAATAATCCTGTGGGCAATTAGGATTAGCAACAATTGCTGGCCCTGTTTGCATCTTGTGAATATTTTTTTAAAAATCCATGAAATGAGATATCTTAAATGTAATTATGGAGTTATATATAAATGTGTTTATGTTATTTTCAATTCGACAAATCAGGTATTAGCCATCCTTAGGTTTACTTCCCAGGACATTCCCTTCACCAATCAGAGTCAACTTGCTTGATGCAAATTTCAGCAAAGCTTGGCAGTTAACTGGTGGTCATCAGCTAACAAGTGTATTCTCTATGCCAACATCTCAAACAAGCAGAGTCACACTTTGACACCAATTAGAGTCTGTTTACCAACCAGTCAGCACTTTGTTTCCATTCCATATAAAGTGCTCTTTTCCCTTGTCATTCGCATTTCTTACAAATTGTCGTAATAAATGAAAGACAAAATGCTAATACAAAGTGTGTCTTTTATTAGAATTATGTGCATATATCTGTATATCTTCAAATATTTATAGATTGGGAAAGGTTAATCTAGAGTATATTAAAATAAACTGAGGAATCAGGTTCAAATGATGAAACATAACATGTTAAATTTGGATTAAAACGCCATAGTTCTTCTTCATGCACGGTGATTAATATTGGAGTAGAATTCCAGAGCGAGTGGTGGCACAAGGCTACCACTGAATCCCGGTTTGCAATCTTTCAGGATGGCTGAAGTAGCTGGTGAACTTGTTGGAAAGTTAACAGATTGGACATTCCTATTTTCAAAAGATGGAGGCAAAATAAATCTGTGTTACAGCATCTTTTATCTGAAATGTTGTGATAAGCCTTGTTTACCTTTGGTATTGTTGCCTTCTTGCTGCCAAACCCCTGATCAACAGTCTTCCTGTTGGGATTCCAGGTGGTGTTGGCAGGTTACTATATTCTCAGTGGCCCCAACATCACACCTCAGTAGAAGAGGCCAAATTGAACAGTAAACTGCAGCAAGAATTCTCATGTTATTTTATCTCTTTTCTAGTGCAGGGATCATTGCAGACGGTTGCAATTAATTTACCACCTACACTAATTGTCAAATACAGTAAAAACTGGGTGGGGATTGATTGCACAGCACGCCTGACCTGTGAGGCGAAGTGCGTCATGAAGCAGCAGTTTTACATTTAATCCATCAGATAAACTTCAATTAAATGGAAAATCTGTGACCACGGTGTGAATTATCAATTGTTGCTCTGTCAGTAATCATCTTCGGTATTGTGTCAGATAATCTCTTTCTCTAACAATATTCTTTACAACAAAAAAAAAACTTTTTGCCAACCAGCAATCTGGACATACCAATAGTATTATTACAAAGGAGATGGAAGATTTGACCCAGTGATAGTTCAGGGGCAGTGATATATTTCCAAGTCAGGGTGTTGTGTGACTAGGAAGAGAACTTGCAGGTGCTGGTGTTGCCATGCATCTGCTGCCCTTTTCATTCTAGATGGATGGAACCATGAAGATTTGAGAATTTAAGAAAATTATTACCAACTGCAAAAATTGACACAGGATAGGGAGATGGAAAGATATATTTGAGCCAATGACCTGACTTCAGCTAGAACACACATGATGATGAATTAAGAAATTTCACAGTGCATCCTGTAGATAGAACAATATACTGCCACCGTCCCTGGTAAGGGCTATGAATGTTCTAAGGTAGTGGATGGGGTATGGTTCAAGCAGGCACAGTGATGCAATGATATACACAGGTAATGTGCATCACATGTCTGATTCTTCCCAAGAAATCAAGCTTATAAACTCCAAGCTTAGAACCATCTAATCACTGCATTTGCACTTGAAAAATTCTCAACAAAATGCCATCTGTTACATATGATTCCATGATTGGGCGACACTTTCTGAAGAATCCTAAGTGTGTCAATCTTTACAAAGTTTCTTAATCAGCTAATCTCATAACAAGCAGGGACCCGCTCTCTGCAACCAAAAGAAATATGTTCAAGCCTTGGAAAGTTTTTGAATTACCTGGGAGTTTGGGCAGCCTATAGGATGTCATTGCTTTTCCTATCACAATACATGAACCAAACAGATTGACTTGCCAACCAATAAGCACTTTGTTCTCCTGTGGTTTAAATTTGTTGTGATTATTTGAAATTTGGCATTCTTGCATTTGTACATTGATGGGTACACAATGAAAAACTTTGTCAATATATCTCTCTTTGCAGTGATAACCACTGCATTGTTGATTTATCTCATCTTCCTGACTGTACTTTTTAACAATGACGTTGACTGTAGCGAAGACAGAATTGTATCACCTCAGTTTCTCAAATGGCAAAACTGATCATTGGTGATCAAAGAATGTCATATGTGATCAGAAAAAAAGGCAACCCGATTAATTTTCTCTTCCTAGAGATCCCACTCTGAATTGTCCCTGACCAGCGAGGAAAATCTAAGTAAAGACCCAGCCGAGGCTGAAAAATCTTCTATCTCCGGGGTGATGGGGATGCATGGGCAATTCCAGTCCTCAGAAAGTTCAGACTTAAGATCTTATTCACTGCCAAGTTGGAAAAGCATGGATTTGCTGGATAATGCAGGTATGTAACCAATAGGTAGCGCTGACTATGTGGAACACCAAATTTCAGAACATCTAAAGCAGACATTAATAATTGATCATGCAATGGACATGTATTACCAGTTGACTGGAATGCAGAAAAAGTAATAAAAAGCATGATTTTTTTCAAGACAAAATGACGAAGACTATCAAGAGTTAAAAAACACTCAATCCTCAAATAATGATTTAGCATTAAAAGTTTTGGTTTTCTGTATCAGACAGATTCACAAAGCAATCCAAACTAGAAATCTGAGATAACAAGGTGTAGAGCTGGATGAACACAGCAGGCCAAGCAGCATCAGAAGAGCAGGAAAGCTGACGTTTCGGGCCTAGACCCTTCATCGCCCGAAACGTCAGC